GGGCTATACTCATCACCGCTAAGCAATCCACAACCAAACACAACCGTGATGCCAAAACTCAACAGGAGTTTCTGCAGAAGATTGCCCTGTCTGCAGTTTTGACATAGCAGCTGACAGAACGGTGCAGCTATACCCGTTGTCCCTGGCTCTCTCCCACTATATCCGCCAGAGGTGCAGCTATACCCAGCTTCTGCTCTCTCACCCTTCTCCAAACTATTTCCTCTCCATATGCTCATTCTGACATGCCTTTGGCTGGTCGCCCTTCTTCCTCTCCCCTCTGTCACCCTCGCCAATGGGCCATTTCACATCTCAATGAACGCCTACACAGTGAATTCGGTCATGTCGGTCTTGAGGGATTCCCCGCAGTTAAATTATGGGTTCGAGGTGCTGTTGTGCATACTAGACTGGCATGATAGAATGGCTGAGAAATTTATGTGTGCGCTAGTGCCGGTTCTGTAAATTGATGCTGTGTGGTGAGCACGAAGTACTTATGGGAACACATCTGTTGACTATCTGTGGCGGTTTTTCAATCTTTGTGCATGATGTTATAAGTGTGAAGGACCATCTAGTCCCCTCATTTAAGTCCACAGCAGTCAAGCTCATGGGGGTGCTGTTACGTATGCAAACTGCAACTTCAGAACTTGGGGTACTGTTGGTTCTACCACAAGAATGGGGGTGCTGTTAGCAGTCCAAAATCTCACAGAGCAGTCTTTAGGCTGGAGGGTGGCCAAGTGTGTTGAAGAAGTGGAAATATCATTCTGCTTTGTCTGTCTGTTTGCAGTCGCTGGCTGAGCTTAATGGGCACTTGGAGTCGGCATCACCAGATTCAGGTAGGTTCTGATGGTTATGCCATTTATCCAGCACCATTCTTTGGCTGTCTGTAACAGCCCTTTGCATTGTTCCGCTATAGTATCTGCCTGTTGGCTGAGTGGTTTGCACCTTGAACTGGTAATCCACACCTTAAGAGTTCGAATCTTGTCCAATTCCATGATGTTAGGGGCTACTTTCCTCGTCTTCTGTTTGGAGCTTGCTTCAGGATCGAGATGGCAGTGAAACAACTCAAGATGGAATCAACAAGTGAGTAGCATAACTAGACTCCCTACTACCGTCTTGACCCGTATAGAACGTATGGTAACTATGACTGCATTGCCAACTTTCAATCGAGATACAGCGATAATGACCATACGTTCTATCTGGGGAAGACGGTCGTTTGCCGACAGGCGGGGTCAAGTGCCAACCGAGAGAGAGGGAGCGGCCGAGGTCAAATCTTCGTTGAAATGAGTGCTACATCTTCAGACTGTTAAACGGTCAGGGAAACAAGTAAACGACAAATGCCACTTCTTCGAGCTGTTTCAGAAAAAAAGAAGGGGAAACTACACGGGAGTCACAAAGATGAGTTATAATTGCACCATGGGCCAAGATACAGTTTCAAATTGCACTTCGGGCAATGTATACAACCCAGCTTTCTGGCCAGGTAGGGTGCCCGAAGTGCAATTGCTGAATCTTGGCCCATAATGCAATTATAACTCGTTTTTGTGACTCCCGCGTAGTTACCCCAAAAAAGAATGATAACGCAGGTCTTATAAAGAACTCAAGCATACATTTGCAATCAGTAGAAACCATTAGCAGCAATGCTGATGGTTGAACTGGTCTTACGTGCTAATGCCACCAATGCAATAGACGGCGAATGTCAGCTTGCCTCTCATGGCCAAATGGTAATCCAGACACACCTCGTGTGAACCGGAATGTAGCAGGAAACCATCAAGCACCAGCCAATTTAATCTGGCAAAGGTAGTTAAAAGTGCTGGTATCACCTAATATGAAACAGGTCATATAATTCCACTAAGCCAGCCAGCTAACAGATGCTTTTTGTTCTCAATCTCCACTTGTCAGTCTCACTCTTCGAACCTCCATTGCTGTCATCTGAGACCTTTGCCAAGGTACTCCAGCAATAATGGTCATGCAATGCCGAACAAGATGTGCACAGTGATGGCCACAAACATGAGTGGTTCAGGAGCCGGCCAGCAGCAGAACCCCATCCTGCATATCAGTGTCACGCAGTAATCCCAGGGTGATCCCTTTGGCCTTCTTCAAGAGAGTTAAATTCCCTCTTCCTTAGCTGTAGTGATCTTTGTAGCCCCCCCATGTGCGTGTTAATGTTCAGTTGTCCTTTGCTAGGCTGGAGTGATATCCACAGTGCTACCCTCCAGGGGTGCGCTCCTTGCCACCAACCTTCCAGTGATTTGTTAAGAAGTAACCTTCAGGTGTCTGGATGAGAATTTACGGCCCTTGTATGTTCTGGTACCTGCTAGAAGCTCAGAGCTCAAAGGAGATATTGAAGATGCACTTGAAGGATTTTCATTTGGTATGGCTTTGTGGTGCAATGGACCCTGATGGTGGAATTAATCATGGTGGTCCTGCTCCTTCCGAGCAAGGTGTTGTGTTCTTGGTTAAGGTCTGATATTACGATATTATGCCAGTGCGATCGCTGTGAGGAGATCGCTATAGACTTGTAAGCTAAGCCTCACTTCAATGATTTGACTTTGTGAGCACTTAGTGTGGGCACGGATTTGTTTCCTTCACTTTTTGCCTAATTGGTGGTAGATGCATTTGTTTCCTCGTTTGCTTAGTTACTCAACAGCAAACGATACTTGAATTGGGATTGTTTTAACCAGTCACTAGCATGGGTTTCCATCAGCAAAAGATCAGATACATGACTAAGCGAAAGATCAGAAAGATCAGATACATGACCAAGGATTGTGGTTGTCGGTTTACGAACTCGATATTCGTCCCATGCAGGTGTCTGCTTTCCGGGTGGAAAGGGTCTTGCCAGAATTGTTCATATTCCTGAGGAGGAGGCGGTGCTGCTTAACTCGAGAGACAAGGCTCCTTTCATGATATTTGTTGAAGTCCATCGTATGGATAGGTGGGAGGAGTTTTCGTCCCTATTGTCTTTACTTCTTGTCAAGGAAGGGACTTTTTGTTCTTTCTCCTCTTTCCTTCCCTTCCCTTTGCTTTTTTTCCTCTGTGTGAACTGCCGTTGGTTTAACAACTACATGCTTGTGTGTCTGTGGATCGGGAGAAGAGGCAGTAGTAGCATTACCAGTAATTGGCAATGGGTCTGTAGATCTGCCTGTGAACGGAGAGAAGCGGCCGTGCTACTGTTGAAACCGATGTCCTCTATCTCTCCAAATGTCAAATATGTGTGGAACTCAGAAAGTCTCTGCTGTGTCCAGTTGGCTGGCACTTAAACCACCTCTTCCTACTTGTCTTCCTCCTTCTTCTTCTTCTTCGTCGTTGTCACCGTTGCTAACCTTCTTCTTCTTCTTCTTCTTCGTCGTCGTCGTCGTTGTTTCCTCCTCCTCCTCCTCCTGCTCCTCCTTCCCTGCTCCTTCTTCTTCTCCTTCTTCTCTTTCTCCTTCTTCTCCTTCTTCTCCTTCTTCTTCTTCTCCTCTTCCTCCTCCTCGATGTATCGATGCATTTGGTTGTGCGGAGGGATATTAACTTTCCTCTCTTTCTATTGATTGGTGATACATTGATTGCATGCTTCTTGCCATCATAACGCATCTCTGAACGCATGTGTTAGGGTCTCCGCTGTACTACAATCTTTCACTTTTCCTGTGGGATCTGTTAGATTGGTGAGACGGCACTGAGAGGTATTCAGGGCTGTGGTCCGGAAGGGACAAACCCTCTAATGTGACACGTTGTTCTCTCTTCGGTGTCATCTTCTCTGTCCTGATGCCTCTCTTTCCCCGCCTCTATTGCTTACACACTGAGATTCAGAAACTCAATTCACATCCACGGACAAGAGGCAGAGCTTCTCTCTCATGCCCACTGGTTCGCTCCCCATCTCTGTTCGTCTCTTCGTCGTTTGTCGCCCTTTCTATTTTTGTCTGGTTCTTGCAGCCATAGCCGGTCATACTTATGTTTGACACGGTAATGCTTGTGGTATCCAGCGGTGCAGATGAAGAGTCAGATAACAAGAAGCGAGGTGGGATCCCTTTGGCAAGCTGTGATTCTATGTTGTCGAATCCTCCGCCTTGGGCTCTGCCAGGTGGGCCTAGCCCATTGTTGGTTGGGAAGTATGGGTGTCAAATGATGACAACATCAGAGGTCATTGACAAGGCTCTAGCCGATCTGTGGGCGACAAAATTGAAGCTTGTGACCATAAGCATGACCGTGATGAAGAGAAAAAGGGAGAGGAGTGAAGAGAGTGGCAAAGTGCGAGACTATTGTAGTCACGAAAGGGAGATGCGTGGAGAGGTAATGAATTCCGACGTCGGTGATTCCCACAACGGGGATGCCGGGAACGAGGCTGCGGGTAAAGACGGAGGGCTTTCGGAGCAGGACAGGGTTGTTGCAGAATCAGTTGAGAACTTGCAGGAGAAGGAAGAGGAGGAAGAGGCGGAGGAGTGGGTGTCTGTGAACTTGGTGGCTCTTGCTGGCGTGAACATGGAAGATGTGGAGCTTGATGAGACAAACGTGAAAGAAAGGAAGAAGGAACATAAGAGAGTCCCAAGCACAGTGGCCATGGAGGAGATGAAGGTGTGTTGCATTTCCTCCTCTTTGCTGTTATGAAATGTTGGAATTTCTGCATGCTGTTGGTGGCGTGTGGAGTGCTATTTTGGAATACGTTTTTTTTTTTTTTTTTTTTTTTTTTTTTTTTTTTTTTTGAGGAAAACGTTTTTTTTGTTGGTCCCATATGTTCCTGTCGCGTGCTAGGTGTGAAAGCACCTGATGCTGACCAATTTTAGAGGTGTAAAGAAGGGGAGCACGTAGTCTGCAAACCAGGCCTTCACTCTGTTCGATATTGTTTCTAAAACTGGCCTCCCTGTCCGTGTACCTGCTGCCTCAACCTTCAAGCATGGGGAAACGAAGCCAGGAAAGGCTGACCGTGCAGCTTACAGAAATAAATTCCGCAAAAAGAATGCCTTTGTCGCATAAGTTCGTACCACAAACTGTGTTTGGGTCAACTTCTTTTCTGTTTTTTTTTCTTTTTTTCACTTCGTTGTTTTCCTTCTTTCCTGCCCCCTTCCCGTGGATCTTGTTTGGTGAGAAAAGGGCTGTCAGCTTTTGTTGTTTTTCTTTCCCCTACTGCTTTCTCTTCCCGTTCCTCCTTCCCCCTTCCTGTGAGGAAAAGGGAGGCAGTCCTTGACGGTAGTTTGAGTTTGTGGCTTGCCGATTAGCGGTTACTCATGTGCTATTAGGCTGACAGTCAGGTATCAGTCATCACAACCCCCGGGCAAAGAGTTTCGGAAACACAAAAGAAGGCTGTTAGTGCAGGAAACGCATGGAGCATTACTGTCTTCCGCGAACATAATGCATGTGTGGTGTGAACGAATACAACGCATAGGTTGAGTTCTATTCTAATACAACACATAAGTTCTATTCGAACAGCCCTTATTTTCGAATACAATGCACATGTGTTCTATTCGACTTTTGAATTTTTTGAAAACTCAAATACACGGCACATGCGTGATGTTCGGGGGAGGACGGTAGTTGTTACCCATTGAAACTTCCTGTCAAGCCTAGCCTGCATTTTGTCACAAACTTCGATCTCGACAGAATGAAGATTGCGTTCGTTAAAACTGGAATGATAGAGAGAAGATTAACATGACCCCTGTGCAAGGATGGCACACATAAGTTGAGAAATGGTCCAAATTTAAGGAAATGAAAAAGATAAGAGATTATGAGCACTGGATCTGTTCGTTGAATCCTTGTCACAGTGGCACTGTCACAAACACGAGTTGTGAGCACTGTTATGGACACATATTGATCTAGGTTTATGCATGCTGGACACATGGGCCATGGATCGTTGTTTGGATTATTACCATAGCATCCTCACAGACAGTCCTTAATTCTCCTTATCAATTTGAATCAGCTGACAGTTCTTTGGGAAAAGTTAGGCTGGATGAAGAAGCAAATCAGAAAGGCAGGCCAGGCCAATTAAGATCAAAGATCACGTTCATGCTGGTCATCAGCAAGGTCCTTTATGGCCCTCATCCTTGTCGTCACTCTCACGCTTCTTGTCCCCCTGTTTTTTTGTCTTCAACCACTGCTACCCCCAACCCCGTTTGACGAACATACTGGCTTTCCCGATCCCGGAACACTGAACTCGAAAGTTTTGGACCTATGGGTTCACAGCAGGGGCCCAACGTATGCCTAGCTGGAATTTTCTCAACCACCCAAGGCGCTTGCTTGCAGCTTTTGTCATTTTCTGAATTATTTGATTGGTTTGGGTAACATGACTCCTGGAAAGGTGCGAAGCGCCATATGAGGCGAAAGTTTCATGTATGGTGCCGAAGCCAAGCCATGTCAGCAATGAGATGGTTTAGGTTAACAAATTATAAAAATCACTTGTTTTTCCCGCTTTTAGTCTTCATTGCTTTTGGAATTCAGAGAAATACATTTTTGTCTTCAGGATTCGTTCGCGATCCAGATTTTTTTTGATAATTCTAATATTTTCCCTAAGAGGTAAGCACTAGAGCTACATTCCATATTTATCTTCAGGAATTTCTGCAGAAAATTATGAGCACGAAAAATTGCCAATTTTCAAAATTTGCTGCTCTCAAAACTTTGTGCAGTGCTGCTATGCCCGAGGCAACCTGTAGGCCGGGCTTTCCTGTGACTAATGAGTACCCTGCGCCAGGCCTGGTTGACGTCGGGAGCAGTGTTAATTTCAAGAATAGCTACGTTGGCCACCATGCACATTGATGTGCAGGGTGCATGCTACTCATCCCACTCCCTGTTGTCCGCTGACAGCCAAGGCGTCCTTTGTGCACATGTTTCTCACTATGGTAGACGTTCTTGTCAGACACAGAGCCATTCCATACACAGATTATCACTGTCATGCTGTGGATATGGCATCATATTAGATCTCACAGATTCTCATTGTTGGCATAGTGGCTATCCCATGCTTGACTGTACATGCTAGTGTTGCTCCTCCAACTCCCCCTGTCCCTCCTCTTCACTCTTCTCCCCCGTTCGTTGTTCCTCTCCCGAGTCCTCTTGCCTCTTCTCTTTCCATATCTGTACTGTCCTCAAGTTTCTCATCTTCCTCCTTGATCATCATTCCTATCTCGATCACTCTTCCTCTTCTTCCTTGTTCACCCTTGGTCCTTGTCATGCTTCCTAATTGCCTTCCTCTCGCCGCTCTTGTCGTTGTCCTCCTCTCATCCGGCTCTTCATCCTTGTCCTCCCTTCTCCTTCCTTCTCCCTTCCGCCCCTGGCTCCCGTCCCCCCCCCGCCCCCCGGGGGGGCCTTCTTCTCTCCCATTATCCTCTCCCCTACCATGCCCCTCCTCTGCTGGTCACATTGCTTGGTCAGGTCTGCCTCCTCTTTGTCTTTGGCCATTGCACCTCCTCCTCGTGTGCCTCTTGCACTATTCTTTCTCTTGCTTGTCCACATCTTGGCAGTTCGGCGTTATGGTTTTTGCTCATAGCCATGCATAAGTGTATACAAGCCCACCCCTGATCATCTCTCCTCTTTGGCATCCCCCTCCTGTTCGTGTCCTCTGGCATGGCTTCCTCAGTTGTTGTCGGCATTGTGGTTCTATCGTTTGACCGGGGAAATTATGTCTGGGCCCTCCATCCATATCACTGAAAGCTGACACATGGATCACATTTCCGTTTGCAGGTCACATTTTGTGATCTGGCACCCACAGGACAGCCCCTCTGGTCGCATAGGTCACGTGTTCTTGTCCCTTACGGTAGGTTATATTTTCATGTCCAGCTGCTCAAGTTCATTTGTGTCATGACTACCGTCTTCACCCAAAAATAACGCCCGGGCGTTGTGTACGAATATAACGCCCGCCGGGCGTTATATTCGTTTATAACGCCCGGGCGTTATATTCAGTAAATTTGTGGTGACTTCTGTGAGGCCCCAAATTTCCGAAAAAGAAAAATAAAAAAATTGAAAATTCTAAAAAACAAAAATGTTGTCCAGGATTGGAATGCGACCAACTTTTGGCTGAGGGTCACTTCAGAATTCCTTATAAACTCGGAAAAAAAAAATAAAAACGAAAACTAAAGCCAAAATATACCCCTTGGAATTCAAAACCCCGTTCAACCCTCTTCAAAACCCATGTATACCCCGTTCCCTGCCCTTTAAAACCCATGTATACTACCTCTTCAAGGCACTCTGCCCATGGAACATTCAAACATAACGCCCGGGTGTTCTATTCGAATACAACACCCGGGCGTTCTGTTCGAAGGGGCGTTCTATTTGAAAAAAAACTCAAAAAAAGTGAGTAAAAACGAAAATCTTATCTTTTTAGGGTAAGTTGAATATAACGCCCGGGCGTTATTTTCAGGCGAAGACGGTAGTCTGGGTGCTCGCAGGGATTGCTAGCTTCCTCTTTTTTTAAAAAGAAGTGTGGCGACCTTGAGATATGATCGTCGAACTGACTGGCCCTAGGTAATTCAGGATTGTAGTGTTTTACTCGTTTGCTTCCAGTGGAGTTCGAACTCAGGTCTGTTTTTAAACAGTTCAAGGGTGTACCAACCGAGCTAGCCCTTCCTCCTTTTGTTTAGCGAGGTTATATTTTCATCTCCAGCTGCTCAAGCTTATCGCTGTGTCATACCTCCCATCTTCCCACAAACATAAAGCACCCTGAAAATGAACGTGTCCAAGGTATGTTTCCTGCCCGGATGCAGTCAAAATGAGGGTATGTTGTGTTCGGGGGAAGACTGTAGTCTGGGTGCTCACAGGGATTGCTAACTTCCTCTTTATGTTTGGTTAGGATGTGTAGAGGAAGTGCACAGCTTTGATCCGCACACAGGAGAGGGTCACCCTCTTCCCACTCGAGAATCTGGATCTCTGCAGGACTCTCAAGGATTAATATAAGTGAATATTGTATCTAAGGGAAAATTTTCGTTTTGCTCCCCAAAGATGTGTTGTTTCCCGATTAGCCCATCAAAGATGCGAAATTCCTTGCTGTGCGATCTTTGCAACATGCCCCTGTTGGACCGCTGCACAACTTTGCTCCTTGCCCCTTCTCCTCCAATGGCTAGAAGTACTGGAGCATCCAGCTATGGCTGCTAGCTGAACGGGCATACCAAACAGATGTCGGGTTCGAACGACATGCTGACGATTTGGCAAATTTGGACCAGTGTCGTAAAGGTAGTAAGGGGATTTTGCATCTCTAAGGCCAAGTTGCAATGAGCCAAGTAGCCGTCAAGGTTAACCTCACATACATCAATGAACAGTCAAATGAGGAGGAACAAAAAAACAGATATGGCTGCCAAGTGGAAAATGGGTGCGCCCAAAGCCAACAACACAGTCCTGTGGAAACTCTCATGCAGAGCTGCGAAACAGGAGCAGTGCGATCTTCAACTTCGTTTCCCAACCCCCAGCTATGGCTGCCAGCTATGGCTGGGCTTCGACTAAGAAGATGACCTCACCCAAAATAGAGCAGCAGCGCTCCAACACCGGACGGGCAGAGTTTCCCCAACCAACGAAAACGTGAAAAGACGCCAACCAAATTTCCTACCCGCTACTTCTACCCTCTGCCTAGACGTACGACGGACTCCAAAGGCAACAACCGAAGACTCATCTGTATCTAGATGGAAACAGAGGGAAAAGGGGACCTAGACCTATGGCAAGGCAAACGGAAAAGGCCGAATGGCCTTAAGGCTACCAAACAGAAACTACTAGTGACAGACTCAGGGATCAAGTCCCATAGGGTGCAGCACTTACAAACAAAACACACGAGTTCCAGGTCACGGGTTCAAGTCCCGCAAAGCTCCAAACAAAGAAACAGCAAGTAAACAAACTACACAGCCGAACACTTAGTGCGCAGCTGGACTGGGGAACTGCGATTTATTGCATTCTTAGTAAGTTCTTACCCTCCCGGGGAGCGAGAACCCTCGAGCTACATAACCAACTACCAGCGATGTTGGCGGAGAGGTATTAGCTAGAGGATCGCTAAACTTTCATAGTGGTGGAGAACGCAAAGACCTCAGAACCTCAGAGGGTTATGGTGAGATTATCAGATTAGAATCATTAGATTGATTAGTCGAGTGCGGGGGTATTAGCCACAGGTGATCAACTTGTAGGCAACCAATCAGCTTCTGAAAATCTACGGGTTGTAGCTCAGATTATCAGCGAGTGTTGGCTAGCTGAATTGCAAGTTTATTAGAGTGGTAATCAGCTTATAAATAGCTAACAACATCCTGAAAATCAGATGATCGAGGTGCAGACTAACAGCATGGGCCATTTAGTGGAATGCCAGGGTGTTAGCCTAGTGAGCAACTTCGCTGTAACCCATTACTTGTGAAAATCTGATTATTTTCTGTCGGAACTGGGTATCAGTTAGACTCCTCAACTGCTGATCTGTGTAATTGCAAGCGTGATACGCAGATTCTTCCCAAGAAGGATCTGACAAGATCTGTAAATGGGGCTAAGCCTGACCATATTCAGCAGTAACGCTTGAAGTGACAGAGTCACGTGTAGGGTAGGTCTATCTGAGTAGAGAGTTCAGTCACAAATAGATTTGACTCTGGCCAACGGGCTGAGACATTATGAGGACAAAGCCCAGTGGTTAAAAGGAATTTGCAACTCCATAGGTAAAATTCAGAACACTGTCGCTACAAGTGTGCGACTACAGAGAAACACTGAACATCTGATTTCTACCGGAGAGAGCAAAACTTAGGACCGTGTAGGAGAATTTGAGGTAAGATCTGTACTAATCATACTCTCTCTCAAACACAGGGCATCCAACCAATGAGTGCAGTTTAGTGTGAGAACATGAACTTGCGCAGACAATGAATGCGGCTCAAAACAAAGAAACAGCAAGTAAACAAACTACACAGCCGAACACTTGTTGCACAGTCCGACTGGGAAACTGCAATTTATTGCAGACCAGTGGAATCGGCTGGGATTTCGAGCAGTCTCGCAGGCCTCTTAACCTGTGTTTTTTTCCTTTTTCCTTAACTTCTTTTCAAAGTGGGAACAACCCCTGTTGCTATGATCGGCTGGGATTTCGAGCAGTCTCGCAGGCCTCTTAACCTATGTTTTTTTCCTTTTTCCTTAACTTCTTTTCGAAGTGGGAACAACCCCTGTTGCTATGATGTTCAGCAGGTCTGGATTCTCAATTCGTCCACAGACATCGCAGGCATTGTCTTACCGAAATAGGAAAGCAGTTTTCTGCTGTGGTTGGTTTCTGAATCATAGTCCTCATTTTGTCTTTGCAGGCGGCCACTGAGAAAGGCGATATGGTATCGATTGGCTTTCCCCCAATGGTAGTGGGAGATGATTCCTGTGGAGGGAATGCGACCGTGGACGAAGCTGATGCTGTTAGGAGAGCAGCTACTGATGCTGTCATGGGGGAAAGATGGATAGACAAGAAAGAGAGGTTGAGAAAAGCTTCTAAGTATGGGAGTGTGCCAAACTGGGATTTGAGATCTTTGATTGTGAAGAGCGGGGATGACTGCCGACAAGAGCACCTTGCAATGCAATTGATCTCACATTTCCATGGTGGGTGGACACTGTCCCTTGGAAAGGTAGGCTTTAGGGTTCAGTTGGAATTGCTGTCTGAGATTTTGTCCCTTCTTTCTTTTTGCGTTTCTCATAATCAGAGTTTATCAGACCAAACACACAGGGTGGGAAAAGGGTACACCCTTCCGCTGCTGATACACCAACCTGACTTAGAGTCTTGTCTGAGATTTTGTCCCTTCTTTTTGCGTTTCTCATAATCAGAGTCTATCAGACCAAACACACAGTGTGGGAAAAGGGTACACCCTTCCACTGTTGATACACAAACCTGACTTGGAGTCTTGATGGTACACACGCCTGAATTACCTGGCGCGGATAAGTTCGGTAATGATATCTCAAGGCCGTCTACTCTTTAAAATAATTAAAGTTGGGGAGATGGTGTGTGCTAGCCATGCTTGATATGAAGCCAGAGACATTTCTGTTACTGCCAGCGAGGTTTGGCTCATGGCGCAGTGCTGCTATTTCCTGTGAAGTTAGCGGAAATTGGCAGTCCTACTGAGATATACTCTCTGATCTGCTTCTAAGCTAAATCAGCTCAGAATGTCTGTAATTGATGAGGAAGGTTCTTATATGACTGGCTGTATCCATGTGGAGCTACCAGTGGACCAATCCCATGGGATTTCCACATGTGGAACTACCAGTGGACCAATCCCATTGGCTGGGCCATAGTAGGCGATACCTTCGAGAGTATGTCAACTCCTGACCACAACCCATCCTCGTCCTGACTCTGGTGGACCGGAAAGATAGCTTGTATTTATTCATGACCAGGGTGCGTTATGTTCAGGGGAAGATGATAGCCCAGACGTGGTTCATATAGCACATCTGCTGCAGGTGTGGTATGAAGACGAGAGCCTAGACCAGCTTCATATCCATGTCAGGCTCAGCAAAATCAAGTGGAAGACATTATACAATTACTATAGCATAGTTTGGGAGTGATTTGCAGGATCAAGATGAAATCGCTCTGCTCTATAGTTTGCTTGGCATGTACTATCTTACCAGGGAATGTCTACACTCCAGCAGCCTGAGTGCATGAAGAACATCTATGCACTGAGTTGCTCTTCCCTGTGCTTGGCAGCACATCTGCTGCGAAAGCCCTCGTGGTGCTATGGTTAAAAATGGAAGCTTGTTTACGTCATCTTCTTGGTTTGCCTGGGAGCTGATGGAATGGATTCTTCATTGAGGTAACCGGTTGTACAGGCCGTATGACAGCCATCAGCTCCCTGTCAAAGCATTGGTAGACGGCGCTGAACTTTCCAGCTGGTTGATGGTACTAGGTTGGCAACAGGTATGGCTGCGGGTTTGTAAATGGTGGAGCTCTAGGGTTCATCTCTTGGTGTTGGGGGGGTTGACGGTTGGTGGGAGGCGGTGGGGGCTGTTCTGGGCCAGTGAGATGAGGATTCAAAATTTGTCTCATTTTGTGGATGAAGCACATGCGTGGCTGTCTTGTTGGGGTGGTTCTGGGATCTTCTTTTGAGTGACAAACGATCTGCATGGTGGATAGTCTGTGCATGCATGGACATCTGTGCACACACCCAAGAGCGCACGCACCGAAGACACACACACGCACTGACACACGCACACACACACACACACACACACACACACACACAAAAACACACACACACACAGACAGACAGACACACAGACAGACAGAGAGAGAGAGAGAGAGAGAGAGAGAGAGAGAGAGAGAGAGAGAGAGAGAGAGAGAGAGAGAGAGAGAGAGAGAGAGAGAGA